AGCGATCATGTTTTTGTCGAGTGAGGAGGGCAGTAACCCTGCCTACTACTTGCTATCAAATTGTGGTTTTAATGGGTAAAACGTTGAGATCGACGAGAGTAAACGTTTTGTTTTTCGCCATTTTGTTCGTTCGACGAGAATAAATACTTTGTGAGCTTTTTGCATATTTTTCTTTGTTGTGCATTCGACGAGAATAAATACTTTGTCAGTTTTTGGATATTTATTTTCCATAATTCTTTTTCCCGACTTCCTCTTGCAGTACGATAGCGGTGAGACTATTGACTTTTTCCTCACCGACCAAAATGAATTTAGTATGCTTTGCGACAGTATCATTCACTGCTAACAGATGATGTTGTACACCGCGTGAAACAAAGAACTGGGACAGGGTTTGCCAGTCAAATCCCCACTTTCGAACACTTTCTGACATTAAAAAGCTATTACGCTACCAAGAAGTAGAATTTGTTGTCCCCAGCCTTCACGCATAATTCCTACACAAATATTCACTAGATCCCATATACCGCTATTACGTCTGTAGATGTCGAACGCTCATTTTCTCTTAAAGTGGATATTTCTCCACTAGCAGTCGTACTTTAACCCAGCTCATGCAGAACTGATTTTAGTGATATACTGTTATTATTATTATAAGAAATATTAAAACATTACAGTGTTAAGTGTACCTTTGCTTAACTGCTCCCAAAGAAGTGCACAGAGCATGATATTGTTTCATTATACTTCAGTGGAAATGTATAAGAACAATAAGTCCGTTCCTGTTATTAACGTCATGTCTCCCAAATCACCGCTGTCTCAATTATCACACTTTTCTTCTGTAAAGTAATGTTTAAAAAAGTAAGCTATGCTATATCAAAAGCTGTATATTAAAAAAGAAACGAAATAGGCATATTTATTTATTTTTTTAATTTAAGCCCCGTTTTAATTATTTAATTCGGCAGATGCTAAAACAATTTATTAAGTTGTTTGTTTCATAGTTGAATTATTTAAATGCGTATTATATTAGTTTATTGTTTACTAGGCCATTCCATAGTTTATTTATATAGTTTTTAAACTAGCCATTTACAATTTTTAATAGGATTGATGAACATTTATTTTAAAGAATTTACACATTCGTATACATTTACATTTCTGTTATTATACAAAAGTTTCAGCAATTAATATTTACAATTTTTTAAAATTTGTTTAAACTAATTAATTGTTAATTATTTAATAGTGAAAGAATTAAGTTATTTGTGAAGACCGTTAAAGAAGGCTACTCAACCTCTTTATAAATGATACCCTTTTAATCTTGGTCGAGAAATAAAAAAGTAAGATGTTTCGTTGTGGCACTTTTACCCACGTGTTAGGAAAAGTGACAAAATACTCAGCAATTTTTGTTTTGCCTGTAATTTTTTGTTGATAATATCGTCTAATAACTTTTGATGGCAGATATGAATGTAACATTTAATTTAAAACTAAGAAATACTCTTTTGACTCTGGGTGAAAAACATTTGGAAGAAAGAAAAGTTTTATTACAGACAAATGTCTGTTCCATAACCTATGGCATACTGAGGAGAACAAATAAGTTCGAACCGGTCTATGTCTGGTTAGGAATTGACAAATGATATTGGCTATCGATCTATCATGATTTAAAGGTATAATCCAATGCAGGTCGGGGTATTTGCCCGCTGAGTAGTAGTTTCGTTCAAATCATATTTAATAATCGAATTTAAAGTCATGTCATTTTCACGGGAAAACAAATCCACTTATGTTTGACTACAGTTTGGAAAACACCACCCTAGAGAGACCCGGATATTTATGAAAGACCTTGGCATTACATTTGATTCCAAACAAACTTTTTCTAAATATATTAAAGAATGTCTATCTGGAACATTCAAAAGTTTAGGTTTTTTTTTTTCAACAGCAAAGATTTTAAGAAATTGTCTACTCAACGCATGTTGTTTGTTAGATTTGTTAGGTCCAAACTAGAATATGCTTCTATTGTTTGGAATCCTAGTTACAATATTTACATAACAGCACTAGAAAAAGTACAACGAAGATTTTTCGAATCTACAATTTTCATTTGTAGGGGTACATATCCTGTTCGAGGGACACCTCAACAATTTTTAAATGAATTTGAAATGAACAGTCTAATTAGGAGACGAGTGATGCACTCAGTAATTTTTTTGTACAGTAATTAATAATGAGATTGACTGTCCCCCTATTACCTCACCTATTAAATATAGAACTCCCAGATTAAGTGCAAAGACAAGTAATAAGTTATGTTTCCTACCTCTCGTACAAACATTTTAATTGCATCTCTTATGTGCTTAAATTATAATAATATCGAGAACAGTCTGGATATATTTAACTGTAAAATTGCTGCTATAAGAAAATATTTATTTAATGCATGTTTAATTAATGTCTTTATATTCTATTTATTGTGTGATATTTTATTTTAATTTATACTATTCTGTTTGTATACTGTTATATTGTTGTTATATTTTGTGTTATTGTATTTTTATATATGTATGTATTTTTGTATGCTATAGTTCACTATTTTGGATTTTTGTGTATATCTGCTGTTTTATGTATCCCGTAACTGGGTTTAATCACTCGTTGGATAAATTATTGTTAATAAATAAATAAATTACTTGAAAAACATTATGTATAAATAGAAAATGTAAATTACATATTATACAGTTTCTTTATCCGAATTATGTAATGAGTGAATAAAAAAACAAAAACAACACCATGATCCTTGCGAGGTGCATAAATCCTTATATAGCCATATAATCAATATTGCTAGGCGCATATTTTAAAAATATTTTTAAATATACAGGGCTACTGACTATAGTGTCTTCGAGGTCATTTCTTTTAATAGAACATTCAATTATTTTTGCATTTTTTAATTCAGCGTGAAATTATCTTTCCAAAGACCTAAAAAATTTTTGATTTTTGACGTAGTGTTGCCGAGTTATTCGAAAAAAAATATGAAAATTTTGGTCACACAAGGTTTAAAAAATTAATTGACAAATACCGATTATTATTTTACACTAGCACACATTTAGGACATTTCAAAGTGCATTTACTTATTTTTTTCAAATGGAACACCCTGTATATTATTGTATTTTTGAATTGGTACGTTCATTCTCTACAATTTTTGTAAATAATGTTCTATACCTAAAATCGATATTTCCAGAGATATTTTTACTTTTTCATTGAAAACCGTTAAATTATTAACTTTTCATTTCTAATTTAGCCATGTAGTAGCTTGTAGTTAGCCATAATTTTGACATAAAGTGGGAATAATTGAAAGTTATCTTATTGGCGTTTAATTATTAACTATTGTGACATAGTCTTTCAGTATTTACACTTATTTTAAATTTTAAATTAGTTTAAAATTAGCACTTTTCAATAATAAGATTTTTGTGAGAAGAAATGGCCGATATGTTTTATGTTCTGGGTGCTAGTGATAAAAATTGTTTGCTATCAACTCGAATTTATAAGGAGCGATATCCGGAAAGAAGATAGCCCTTTAAAAAATCATTTGAGAGGTTGATGGAACGATTTGACAATGCGCGGAAAGTAGTATATGAGAAGAAGGAACGAAAAAAGTAACAAATGACGAAAACGAAACAGTCATACTTTTGAGCGTGACTGAAGATCCTCATCACAGTATAGAGAGAAAACGATGTTAGCCGATCTTCAGTCCATCGAATCCTACAAAAACAAATTTCGTCTCGTGGTAGAGACGAAATTTTTTCATCTAATGCAGGAGCTGGTTGATTGGGATTATGAAAACCAAATACAATTTTGTCAATGAGCACAACAAAAAATTGGACAACAAAGAATTTCTTTTTTACTTCGTTTTCTTTGCCAATGAAACAATGTTTCATAAAAATGGACATGAGGAATTGTTGAGAATTATGTGATAGGACTACATTTTTTTTGATGGACATGTGAATGGTCAAATTTGCTTGGAATCTTTGCAAGGCAACTTGGAAAAATACTGGAGGATGTCTCCAGAGATATTAGAGGGAGAATGTGGTACCTATTCACAAACATTTTAACGACGCTTTTTCAAATGGTTGTATACAAAGAGGAGCACCCACAGAGTTGGTCTACCAGAAGTCCTGACTTGACTAAACTGAACTTGTTTTTGTGTAAGTGTACAAAATTTCTACGACTACAAAATACAAAATATGAAACACAGAATAAGGGAAATTTTTCGGAATATTACTGTAGATATTTTAAGAAATGTCAGTAGATCATTTGAAAAAAATCTACTTTAAATTCGTATCCTACAGACAGATGCACCACAGAAGAAGTATGTAAAAACACTTTGGTAAAATTGTATCCCGAATTGGTTTTTGGTCATTTTCTAGAACACGCACTTCTGAGATACCACAAAACTCATGAAGACGCCATTTCAGTTCTTTGTTACTGCGTGACGATTGAACTTGACAATCAATATATTTCAATATAATTTGCAATATAATTGTTTAAAAAAATGTCGGAAACAGCGGGCGCGTCGAGTTGCGTTAATAAAGATTCACCTGTGTCTCGTTGTGATAAGTGTCGGGTACTTTTTCATCGACACGGCATTATTATACCGTGTCATTACAGTTGTCCTAAGTGTTCAATAAGGTTAGTGCCAACGTCTAAGGATGATTTAAGTATATTTCAATTTCAAATAAAACAAAAAAATATCCCTTGCCCTACAAAAATAATTGACATTTAGTGAAATATCAGTCATTTTCGGCTCGCTATTACCCACCCAGCACCCCTATTCACTCCACGATCCCGTAAGTTTCTTGGCTTATTTATTATTTGCACAACATTTATGTCACAAATTGTTACTACATCGGTTGTGAGTAAATTTATGCAAAAAATTTCGAAAAAATTCCAAAAAGTGCGTGTTCTAGAAAATTACCTGGTTTTTTTTTCATTTTTTTTTGTAGAAAGTTACGGTAGAGGCAAGATATCTAATAATAGTAAGTTATATGGGCACGGTAGCCGAGTGGGTAAAGCGCTTATCGCTATTTACTCGGTACCGAATATCGATGGTTCGAATCCATCCCGGAGCAACAAATTTTATTTGTAATTTGCTTCAGATTAAGATGGGAGTGAACTGTTGATGCCCTAGATGTAGTTCGGACTCCACAATAAACTGTAGGGCTTCGTCTCCCTTTACTCAACACAAAATCCTAGCATTTTTCTGGGAGTTATTTCGGCGACTTGAGAGGCGGTTAAAAGAAAGAAAGAAGAAAGAAATAAGAGATGTACATTTTCACACCAACCCACGATGAAAGAAGCTCGTGAGGATTCCTGTTTTGATGAGAGATGAGTCATTCGATCAGAAAAATTTATGGGCTTGAAAGTTTAGTTATATTAATTTTCATAGTTTATAGTTAGGTCAAAGTCAACCGAAATTGTGAAATCCGTAGTTCTAAATTACATGATTTTAATAATTTCACTATCAAGTGGTGAGGATGTAAAAAGTAAATATCAAAAAAAAAAATAGTTATTCCGTCATTTAACAAAAAAAGAGAAACGATAAAAATTTTTTTTACTGATACTTTAAACATAGTTATTTTTTATTCTCCATAAAATCTTCAAATGAACAAAATTTTTCTATAAATTTCAACAAACTGAAACCTAGCAGTATTTTGAAAGATAATTTTATTAATGTTTTTATAGTTACACCCACTAGATGAAAGCACAAAATAAATCTAAAAAAACAAATTAAGTAAACACTGTATAAAACTCGAGGAGTGGATTATACGTATTAATAAAAAACGAAAATATAAATTTTAAACACCATTAACCGCCATATCGGACTCTCAATAAAATAAATAACATAATAAATCAAAAAATCACTTACATTTTCCACAGTTGCAATAAACCAACACCTAGTAAAGAACTGTCAGTTACGAAAATAGCTCCTGAGTAAACCGTGAACACTGAGTAAGTCTTAAACCTGACTCACCGCGCGCGGATCGATATTAGTTGCGGAATTTATCACGACTGTTAACAAACTGATTGCGATACGGGTGCTAATTTTGTTTAAATAATACATTTATACAAAGCCTTGTCGTGCGATCAAATTTCAATGGTTTTTCTTACCTGTTGGAGTTTTGTTTATGTGAAGTGGGCGTAACTCGGTTACATCAACGAAACCCCCACGAATGCCTGGAAACACACTGTCAGACTGACTGAAGTGAGCACAGCTTTGTGTACTGGTATGGCTTGCTTGGCCCATTTTCGACATTTTCGCCTACGGATTGGGATTGGCCTTTATTTATTTCTATGATATTGCTTTATCGTTTATATGCGGCCTCGTTATGTTTAGAGCAGTTTTCCATTTGTTTTGATGGTTCAATTAGAAAGATTAATTTTATAAATTGGCTCGATTAGTTTTATGACACCGTAATTGTTTCTTTTATACATAACATGGTCCAAAAGAAAAAGAATTTCCTTGACAACTCAATTTAAAGCGGTCAACTCAAGCATAAGCGCCGGAACGGTTGGGCTCGGGAGCCTCAACCCCACGGCCCATCTTACCATGATGCCGAAGCCCCCACGGCTCCTTTCATTCTTATACTGATACAAAAAATCTTTTTTTATTTTAAGCAAAGTAATCTTAGGCCGAGTTTATCCAATTCATTAAAACTTAATTCTTAACCGTGTTTATATCAATTTTTGATTTTAAAAGTGAATCACTCTGTATACCCATTAATCAACACGGATTTATACCGGGTCGGTCAACTTGTAGCAACTATATATTTGTGAATTCTTAGATAAGCAGGCCAGGTAGATTTTTCAAAAGCATTTGATAAGACTTCACCATGGTACATTACTGCAGAAAGTGGAGCAAGGACTTACTAACACTTCCATAATTTTTGCTCGTATTTAAATAAGAGAAAACAGTATTGTTACGTGTTTGCTATCCACACAAACACCTATACTCGTAGATTCAATAAATGTACCAACTGCTAACTGTTGTTGAAATTCCATTGGTGCATAAGGATAGGCTAGATGGGCTAATCTTTCTACCGCAGCCTCTTGGAGGCTTTCTCCACCTCGTTGTCTGCTTGATTTGAGCTGAGCCTGATATACTTGGGCGAGATGTTGGTCGTCATATCTTAGTTCTAACGCTGCCTCCAAAATGCTAAAGTTTTGTTGCTGTGTGGCAGGAATTGTTTGGAGCAGGTCTAATGCTTGGCCCCTTAGTGCTAATACTAATGCTGTTGCTTTTTCCTCATCGTTCCAGTTATTTGAACGTGCAGCTGCCTCAAATTGTCTCTTATATGTTGACCATGAACTTTGACCGTCGAAGGAAGGTGGTTGTAACCTAGTACCAGACGACAGTACTAACTGGCCACCCTTCTCTCTTAATTGTTGTTTAAGTCGGGCTACTTCTTCCTTAACTTCAGTTATTTCTCCTTTAAACTTTCCTCTAAATTCACTGACTTCTTCCTTAACTTCCATGACTTCAGTCTGTACATCTTCCTTCAATTGTTCAGAGAGCATGATTTGATGCTGTCCCTCCATAATTTGTCTTAATTCTTCCTGGCGTTCCTTTCTTTGCTCTTCTTTTTCTTTCTGTCGTCTTATTTCCAGGCCTTCAATCATTTTTATCAAGTCTTCTTTTTCTTCTTGTCGTCTTCTCTCTTGTTCTTCCTTTTCTTCCTGTCTTTTTCTTTCTTGATCTTCCATAATTTTACTTTGTTCGTCTTTTTCTTCTTGTCGTCTTCTCTCTTGTTCTTCCTTTTCTTCCTGTCTTTTTCTTTCTTGATCTTCCATAATTTTACTTTGTTCATCTTTTTCTTCCTGTCGTATTCTCTCTTGTTCTTCTTTTTCTTCCTGTCGTCTTCTCTCTTGTTCTTCCTTTTTTTCCTGTCGTCTTCTCTCTTGATCTTCCATAATCATTCTTAATTCTTTCTGGCGTTCTCTTTTCTGTTGTTCCATTTGTTGCATCAATGCTGCAAGTAAGTCTTGTGTTTGTTTCTCTGCCATGCTTCTTGTTGTTGGCATTAACTCGCGACATGTAAATCAGTTCAAAATAAAGTTAACTACACTATAATGTCCATAAAATGTATCTATCACGTCTATTTGAATAATGAAATGTACCAGAAAAATCTCGAAACAACACTAAAAAGTCTTATTTAGAGTTTATGTTACTTTTGTGTTGCCAAAATTCACTTATATCCACTAATTGTGCAATAGAATGTTCGAGAATTTTCACGAAATATCACTAATAAGTCTTGTTTTGAGTCTATAACATGTTTCCGTTAACTAATAAGTCTTGTTTTGAGTCTATAACATGTTTCCGTTAACACATTTTACGTATCTTCTGTGGTTTCCAAATCGAATGTTCTAGAATTGTCACTAAAAATCACTTATAGTCTTGTTTTTAAGTATACAACACGTTCCCGTCGACACAATTCACGTATCTCCTGTAGTTTCCAAATAGAATGTTCTAGAATTTTCCCGAAATTGCATCAGTAGCCCTTTTTCTCAGTCCACGACACGTTATAACTAGCGGCACTCGCGTATTTGCAGCTATTTCTAAATCGAATGTTCTAGAACTTCTCGAAAATCCACTTTAAAGTCACTATTCAGTCCAGAAATAGTCCTCCAAACATTGTTCAGTATCTTAATTCTCCATGTTACCACTAATTCCTGAGAAGAACTCTGTAGAATCTTTTCGAATAATCCAGAAATTTCTCTTCCAATCCACTTCCGACATCAAATTGTTACGTGTTTGCTATCCACACAAACACCTATACTCGTAGATTCGTTGATTGAAAGTCCAGGTAACACTTACTCGCTACTTTATTTACTAATTAACAATTAACAACAACAGATTAATCACTGTCCTTATTATAATCACAACTGAACACTTATAAGTCTCTTTCGTATTTCTTCTTTACTCGTTCACGTTCGACTTCCCACTGAGACTCGGCCCACCGTGTGTCTTATTTATGCATCCATTCGCACGATCTAGAGCAGTCCAGAATATTCGCGACCGTTAGCGTACAATTCCAGTCTCATCTAACGAGTCTACACAGTCCAGTGGCGTAACAGTATATACAGTACTGTGGTTTCTGATGTCGTACCTCAGGGCTCTGTGCTTAAGCCTCTGATATTTGTTATATTCGTGAATGACATCAGCATTGACCTGCAGTGTAGAATCCTACTTTATTATCATGATTTGAGTTATTTTCTTAGATTATTACAGTTGAGAGATCTGTTGCATACTTCAAGATGATCTTAACAAATTAAATAATTGGTACATCAAAAATAAATTATACCTGAACATTACAAAATGTGATGTTACATATTCCCGTAAACTGGATTCACTTGACTTTAGTTATAATTAAAATGATAATACTATTAATAGATGCAATCAGTTTAAGGATTTGGGATAGTTTAATTCCAAACTAACATTCAATAGTCACTTAATGTTGTTGCTAGCGCCTTTAAAAGTTTATATTTTATAACCAGAAATTGTAAACAATTTAATAACACAGATATACTTATCCTCTTATTTAATGCCTATTAAGATTAAAACTAGAGTATGCATCAATAATATGAAATTCTGGATACGAAGTACATAATAACAGCTGTTGAATAAGTCAAGAGGAGTTTTCCAAATTTGTGTGGAACCTATCCAACATCGGATTTCCAAATGATTATCGAGATTCAATATAATTGATTTAAAAACAAAAAGTATATATCACTGGGTTTAATTTTTATTCAGAATTATAAATTATTTAATTGACTGTCAAATACTTCTCAGTACTTTAAGTTTCCATGACCCAAGTTTACCAGAGTGTTCAAGATTTTTATAATTTAAAAATATATGAAATCTTTTGTTTTTGATTACATTGATACAACTTCTTAACGTGGTGATAGAGTCCTCAGATTGTTAATGAAGAAACCCATTTACCAAGAACATAGATTTATTTAAGTATATTTGCCAACATTGCAAGAATCCCAGCCCCTTCGCCTTTTTATTCAATTTACTGGTAATATTTTTACAATGTTCTTTATTGTCTACTCAAATTCAACTTTCTGCAGTGTG